TCAGTTGTGTTCATAACCACAGATTTCTTAATATAATGGGTTTTATTTTTCCATAAAAAATTGAAAAGCATATTATCAACAGTCTTGCAAATATTATTGTTGACTGCTAGAGAAAGAGCTGTATATGTGAGCCTTGAGATGCCCTCTGCTTTTGAAACCAATACTCTCCCCCTCAAAGATAAGTCTCTTATTAACCACTGATTTAACTTTTTTTTCATCTTATCAATAACAGGGGAGAAGTTTAGCTCACATGTTCTCTCTTCATCCTTTACAATCTTTATACCTAAATATGTGACTTCATTTTGTATAGGGATACCACAAATAGATGGTAAATCGCACTGCTTAAGAGACTTTAATTCACACTTATTAATATTCAAATGAAGACCTGAAGCTTTAGAGAATATACGGATAACATTAATAGCTTTGGGTATTTCCCCTGCATCTTTTAAAAAAAGAGTGGTATCATCTGCTAATTGGCTAATGGTGATGATGTTATCTGCAACTGTAATTCCTCTTAAAGTACTCTGTTTAATAGAATCAGCAAGTAGTTGTGAACAGAGTAAGAACAGGTAGGGAGAAATAGGGCATCCCTGGCTGATACCACAATTAAGATTAAATCTGGGTGAGGTGGCAGCACGCAGTTTGATTGAACGGTTACCATTGAAGTATAAAGTTTGAATAGTCTTAATGAAATAATTACCGAAACCAAATTTTTTAAGGGCTGAAAAAATTAAATGATGTTCAACAGTATCAAATGCCTTTTGGAAGTCTAAAAAAAGAATGAAGCTCTTATCTGAAAAATAAGAGTTTTGTTCACCCTTGTCCAGCCATCTCTGTCTGGATCTAATGAAGGCCCCCTCTGCTCTCCTTTTATAAATATCATCTAAATGGTTTTGAAGAGTAATCAGTTCTATTTTTTCATTGTCTGAGAAAATAGGGGGAGATCTTTGAGTGAAAGCTGTAATCTTTGAAATTATATTTTCTTCTTCATGTTTCCTGGCTTTGGCTAATACACTTCCATAATTTCTTAAAAATTTACCAATTTCGAACTTCAATAATTCCCAGTTATTACAATAATCATTACTCAGTTAAGCTAAATTCCAATAATGGGCAATCAGTCTGCGAATGGTCACCTTAACAGATTCGTTGTCCAGAATTGAATTATTAAGTTTCCAATACGAATTATAATGGTTGTTGGAAAAAGATTGTAGGCCAACATTAATAGAAACTGCTTTATGGTCTGTCAGTGGCATAGGAAGAATGTTAATTAAAATGTTTTCTTTCTGTAAGCTACAAGAAGTTAGCCAATAATCAATACGAGACATGGCAGTACATGCCTTATTGTTCCATGTGAAGGATTTTAAATTAGGGAATTTCTCCCTCCAAATGTCTTTTATACCAAATTTCTGCATAAAGGCCTTAATTCTGATATTGGAAGAAGTTGGAGCATGAGGAGGCCATCTGTCAAGGGAATTGCCTAAAGTAATATTAAAATCACCGCCAATTAATATAAGTGAATTTGGGAATTTAGATAAACAATGAGTTAAGCGAATTTCTAATGTATCAAATAAGTCATCATTTTCACTTTTAGAGTTGTACCCATAAATATTTACTAGAATTATAGTCAAAAGATCAAATTTTGCAACTAAAAGAATGTAATGACCAAGAGTGTCCACATCAGAATATAAAATATCTCCTGAAAACCTACTTTTCAAAATTGCTACCCCTGCTGAGTGCTCAGACCCATGTGCAAACCAAATATCATTACCCCATTGTGCTTTCCAAAAACTAACATCATTGGGAGTTGAATTAACTTCTTGAAAAAAACAAAAGTCAGACTTCTGCTGCTTAGCAAATAAAAACAAAGCCTTACGTTTAACATTTAACCTCAAACCCCTGGCATTAAGAGTAATTAACGAAAATGACATAAGGATATATGAATTAAAAGAATAAAATCTAGCGGTTCTTTTGTGTTTGTGTCGCAAGTTCAGTGACGCAGGTAGTGACGATACTCTCCGGCCAATCCGTGATCAGCAGAGTTTACACGTCACGTTTTGGTAACGGTACGGTTCGCTTGGAACCCCAACCGAAGTGGTACTAAAAAAAGTACCAGGTACTGTACCCAGT